CTTTGCGCGAAATTCAAAAACAAAACTTGTCTCTATTAAACATGGTGTATAACAGTTTCATCAAAATTATTCATATAATTGCTGTTTCACACACACACAAAATAATGGGACTAGTAAAGTATTAAATGTCAATTTGTTTCAATAAGTATTGGTCTGAAAATGTTTACAACAAGTACTGCACGTTTTCCCTGACCAAATTATGTATTTAACTTAATGTAAAATACTTATTTTATTTTTAATATAGTTAATTAATACCTAACTTCTCCAAAGCCTAATGTAATATTGTGCAGAATTCCTTGTTTGTTACATGAATCAAGTTATATATTATTATATTGTTTATTATAAATAGAATAAATAGTTGTAAACTTGCTTGAGGTGTTAAATGGGGAAAAAAAGTGTACTTTTTCAACACAATTTTTTTTTTGGGGGGAGGGATGTATATAGTGATGAGTTGATTATCTTACCATCAATTGTGTCATAATTTGGTCATGTGAAACATACTTAACCCTATCAAGACTGGTGTACATCTTCCATGTGTCAAAAACATATCTGCATATCAAAGTTGAAAACATAAGTAAAAATAATAATAATTCTAACTGTATTTCAACACATGTTAAACTAAAACAAGATTACAACAGATATTTTGTCACTTTGCAATATTTATTTAGTGTAATGTGTAAAGAAAAATTAAAAATATATCATAATTTCATTTCTCTGCCTGTCCTGTAAACAACACAATTTTGTTTGCCCATCCCAATGTATATGTTTATATTAACTAAGAAATAGGCTCGGCATGGCCAGGTGGCTAGGGAGCTCGACTCGCAATCTGCAGGTCGCAGGTTCGAATCCCCATCCCACCAAACATGTTCGCTCCTTTCAGGCATGGGGACATTATAAGTGACTGTCAATCCCACTATTCGTTGGTAAAAGAGTAGCCCAAGAGTTGGCGGTGGGTGGTGATGACTAGCTGCCTTCCCTCTAGTCTTACACTGCTAAATTAGGGACGGCTAGCGCAGATAGCCCTCGTGTAGCTTTGCACGAAATTCAAAACAAACAAAAAGTAAGAAATTATCATTACTTAATGATATAATTAGTCGTGTCATGTTTTTCACATGATTTGTTTGAGGTTTTATCATTTTAGCTCTTCATTCCCACTCTTTTATGATATCACAGTATGTGGTCAACAGCTACTAATGAAACACTGCTACAAGCAAAGTATAAATACTAGAAGATAGACCATATTATAAACTTTTTATGTCAATGTAGTGTAATTAAAGAATTTGAGCAGTAATTTTTGGTTTCATATGAAAGTGATAATACAGACTGATCTACAGGGATGAACAAAGGAATCAAATGGGAAGTTTAGAACAGCATTTCTCAACCAGGGACTGGCTTGCTGCCTCCCTAAACTATCACAGACCACTAAATTCTAAGTACAATGAAAAATTGTTATGATTTACTTATGTCAGGTTTTGCTTGCTTATTTGTTATTGTGAAATCCTATAGACCAGCAATTGAGAAATGCTGGTTTAGAAAACTATGAACAAACCAAGGGTCTAGAATTTTTATTGGTTCTTCAGATGTTTCTTTTGTTTCTGAAAATGCTTTTGCATTAAATTATGTCTATTTAGAAGTTGTGGAAATCATCTTCCTTGACAAGAGATCATGTGAGCTTAGTTAGGTTTAGCAAGTACAGTAGGTGACAGCAAGTTATTTCGATAACTTAAATCCTTATTTATTAAAAGTTATTGTGAAGTTTATCATATTCAAACAATGCATATCAAATAAAGAACTTTTTATCTATTGAAAAAAAGCTATTTATTAGATGTCCATTGATCTCTGCTAAGAATATTGATAGCAAAAATATCATTACCTTGCATGACAAAGGTAATGGGACACCATTGTGAAAGATCAGGTCCTAGGTCACCAATAAGTCTGTATCGGTTTTTGTAATTTTCTTCACAGTTTATTGACCAATTAAAGTTTCAAAAGAAATAGGTTAATGGATATTAATTAATTTGAAACAGACTTGATATATAAAATGGGACTTTCTGATCAACAATACAAAAAATTGAAATTGTAAGATGGATGGAAGTATTTTAACATTTTTTTCAAAACGGTTAAAGTTTGGACATTTCAAGACATAAAAATTTTATAAAAAATAAATCAAAATATAGGAAGTTTTTAAACTGGAACTAGACACTTGAGTAAGTTTGTACTTATGAAGGAGGAAAAAAAATCAAGGGTTATCAGTCCAGAAAGAGTTAGATATATGCGACTGTTGTGACTTTTCATTTCTCTAATTAAAGTTGAATGTAATTCTGAAATGTTTATTGTATTACATTTTGAATGTTATACATCTATATAAAAAGCACATTGTAATAATGAATAACATTATGTATATTTGTTTAACAGTTACCTTCGACAGCTTGAGGCTCATATTCAACCAGTTCTCCAGGGATATCAGCAAGGTTATTCCACACATCAAAAGTTTTAAGTTTCTTATTTTAAGTTGTCTATAGTTCTAATACAGAATGTAAGAAAATTATATTTCAGTATGATAACTGTTTAGATAGTCATTTGGCTTAAAACAAAACAATTCAGAAATAAAGTTATGTATATTCAAGGTGTACCACATTCTTCAGGACTATATTTCATTGCAAGTTAAAAAATAAAAGTTTTCCAGAATTTGTCATAGAGTTTTTATCTATATATATTGTTGTCAGTTTTCTCTACATTTTCCATGTAATCAGTTTGAAATCTAAAAATGGGAAATATTTAAAAAAAAACATTAATCACATCAAAAATAAGCACTGTGTTGATTAAGTTAAAATTAAGGAAGAATTACAATGTATATAGTTGCTTTTTTAAATACTTTGAATTAAACAGTCTATTGTACCTCATTATTAATCATTTCTGTATACTAGGCCTACTGGTACATAGATACAGTAGCCATTCTTAAAAAGAGGAACTTACACAAAGATAAAAAGCACCTTGTGGATCATTGGATTGGTAAAAGTATTGCGAGAAGAAATATTTGTATATTAGGCTACCCAGTAATGAAAAACCTGTTTATCTTCATCGGAAAAAATGACAGCCTTCTCAACAACAGACAGTTTAAAACAACTGGGTTTGTTGTATAGATTTAAGGCTTCTAATTAAGGTAGAATTTTTAAGTTAAAAGTAAGTTGAGGAATACAGGGAATCCTTCAATTGTAATTTGATTATTCAGTGTAGGTTAATAATTGTGATTTTTATTTATAAATGGAAGAAAATTAATAAGGAAGTGTAAGAGAATATCTGTAGGTCACATATAGCCAAGATTAAGTGTGCATAATATCACTATATCACCGTTATCGAAATATTAAATGTTGTTGTATTAGTTCTAAGCTTGTAAAATTGAAATTATAACAGTGTCAAAAAATTAATTATAGTAATAAAAAGATTAATGTTAGCATAAGATGTTACTTTAATTTTGCATTTTTTAAAGTTTATGTGTAGTGCTGAATGATGCATTATACATATGAGAATTTGTAACTTTCATTGTTAAGTTATATATATTTTAATATATTATTAACTTGAGCTTCCCGAGTTATAGTTCAGTTATTGCTGTAAAAGTTCTCTTTACAACTGTTTTCAATTTTCACACAGCCTTCAAATGTTTCAACTTTATCAAGTATATTTTTGGAGTGAGTACACAAACTAGTGGTTAATAGAATGTATAGGTAATAACTATAGTAAAAGCAGATACTGCCCAATTTATTTAGGTAAACCTAGCTTTGTTTTTGAAGTATGCTATGTACGTGTATAATCTTACTATAAACAGTGTGAAAATGTGTGTGTATGAAACTGTAATTGAACTTGGCTGAACAAATGAACAGTAGAAGACACTGAGAATCATTGCTAGATCATTCAAGCCTTCTGAACCTGAGTTTAATCTGCTTGAAATCCTCAAGGCATTCCTAAAAGCTTGTGGCTTCTAATATAAAAAGTAAAGTAATGATTCAATTATGAATGCTTAGGCCTTGAAGCTCCTTCTTTAACTGCAATGATGTTCTTTGTGACAGTCCTTGTTATGGACTGTTATGTAATGCACTTCCAATTGCAGGAGGCATTAGCACAATACACTGAGATCAGATTGTTTTTCTCCTTTTCACTCACTTACCAAAGTCCATAGACTGTGTGTGAATGATAACTTAATGTTTCCTATTTTATAGGAGTCTTATTCACACCTTTTGGTGAAAATAGTTAATAGCGATGTGGAAGTAAAGAGTTGAAAGAGTAGTCAATAGTTGGAAGTTTAATGATTCTTTTTTTCTTTAACTCTGTGTTGATATATAGTTCAGATATTTAAAGAAAGGAGGAAAATATAAAATTACTGGTAAACAATTTTTCAACTATTAATGGGGTTGGTGGTTATGAAGATATTTTAATTCATAAAACTGTAAAACATTCATTAGTGAGATGTTTATGAATCAATTGTATGTGGAAAGAGGATGAAATATTAAAAGTTATGAAAACTATAATAATTGGAAGTTCACTGAAACGTGAACAGAAACAGGAGGATTTGTTGTTGAAAAGCATGTCCTATTTGTGGAAAAACTTATTAACAGGGATGCTTTCAACCAGTAATTTGTATTATTGTGGTGTTCTTAGGTGAAACTTAACTGACGGGCCACACCTAATTAAGATCACAATAACAGAAGTTTCTTGAGAGATATTTTAAGCACAAGTAAGACGAACTTGATAAAAGGACAAAAAGTCTCAATTGTTTGGCTTTGAATTGAAGAATACAGTTTATTAACAATGTAAGACCAATGACATATGATATGTGGGGGTTTAAAGTGGATGGGATCTGTGTATTTAAGGCAACTAAGAATAGTTCTAAACAACTACACATAAGAATTACCAGATCAATTCTGACCAAGTACCACTTTTGGTTGGAAGTATATTCAAGATTTTTCAGACTTTTATCTATATTCTTAGTATACAAATTTTCAGGCTTTTAGTTCTAAACATCTTTGATATTTAATAGGTAAATCACAAAACTAAATTTTTGACAAGAAATGTTTACAAGCGTGTTTCTGAATTTGACTGATTCGAGAACAGACTGAACAGTAAATCTCTGTAGAAGAAGCAAAAACTATCTACCTTTAAGACAAGATGAAAACTTCATCTGGTAAGAGATTCTTTCACTGGACAGCCACATTTTGTTGAATAAACCCTGTCAGAAGAGATATATATAACTCTGACCCTTCCAGTAAATCCCCGAGTGCATTGTCACCAGTGTCATTGGTCACTCCCATTAATAAAAAAGGGCAACAGAGTATATGGTACTTCTACATCTTCATGTAACTTGAGTAGAGTAAAAAATCCATCAGGATGAATAAGCATGGAGTAATTCTCCAACATCAGTCATAAAAAAAACCTAAAGTATCAAAGAAAAATTACCCTTGCACAAAAATAACGTCAACTTAGTTTGAGATTGATTATTTGCATGCTACATGTGCCCTGGTGATTAGGGCACTTTACTCGCAATATGTAGGTTCAGATGCCTGTAACTGAACATGCCCTTTTAGCCATGAGGGTGTTATTATGTGATGGTCAATCTCACTATTTGTTGGTAAAACTCAATAGTTGGCAGTGGGTGTTGTTGATTAGCTCTATTCCCTCTAGTCTGTCACTGGTAAATTAGGGGTGGCTAGTGCAGATAGCCTTTGAATAGCTTTGCAAGAAATTTAAGGCAAACCATATTATACATATCAAGTTACAAATTTTTTTACACCTCATTGCATGTGTTACAGTAAAGATAGTTTTTGTGTTATGTCAAACAGCTGTGCTCAGTCTTTTTCATTTCTCAGTATGTTTTTTTTTTATTCTCTGCAAAACATTCCCCTGAAATTCTCCCATTATCTGCAGAACTTATAGCTAACTTGTTAGTCATCTGTGTTCCTGAATACATTGAATATCAAAGTTATAAAGAAAATTTTAATGTTGTGACCAGGATTTTGTTGATTCAGAATTTTAGACTGATTGTGCTACATTGTTCATTTATTGGCTGCTGTAGTTGCTCGACCTCCATCAGTTGCAGGTGCATGACTGAAACTTAATTAACATATAATGAGAAATTATATAGGACTGTTAAGCTACAGACCAGCCCAGGTATTGCCAAACACTAGTTAAAGTCAGAGTAATTGATGGCCTGTAAAAGGGTAGACTCATAAATAGTTGGTGATGGTGAGAGAAAATGCCACAATAACACAGGTCAAGTGCCCAATGTTTTGGTTAGAGACTGGCAAAGTATGCAGCAGCAAGGAGCCTTACAGTCTAGTTAAATGATCTGGCAGTGCTCCAAGAGAATGTCTGGAAGATGACATATCTTTACATGTCACTGGATTATGTGGACTTTTCTCAAGGACACATATCTGTGGATATTAGAGTGAAGAGGAAGAAGATAACATTCCAAGAGCACTGTTTGCCTCAGCTGCATAGCAGTAGAGATGGCAATAGGTACCTTCCTATTTGAAAAACAATTAATGATGGCAGCAAGGTGAAGCAGATTAATCCACTGGTGTTCAAGGATCTGCTAAGAAGTATCTTGACCAGTTCCTAAAGTATTTAAGGTAAGTTATTGATTGGAATAGCAATTGGATGAGCAATCAATAGGGCAGAGTTCAAGGTATGAAAGCAAACTCCCTATGAAAATCTGGCCGCTTGTTTGGAAAATCTGCAAGATTTGTAAGGAAGGTGTATCTGGACATGCCAATTAGGAATTATGAGAAGGCTTTCATCACCAAGTTCATTAAAAGGCTACCAAGGAAAATCAATATGGTACCACATGTACTCCAGGGGAATTTCATCTCTGACAGTGTTTCCATGAATTACAGGGTTAAAAATTATCAATCTAACTGGACATGAGCTGAAGAAGAAGCCAATAGCAGAAATTTTGGAGGCTGATTCTGCTCTTAATCAATCTTGAGTCAATAACCACCCCAAGATCAAACAGAAACATTCACCAAGAATTCCACATGGGCAAAATGTCATGATGAAGCCACCATGGTTTCCTATCAGATAACAAGGCTTTGGAGCTCCAGTAGCATCGACTAGACAACAAATGCAGCAGAAAAGGCTCAAAAAAGATTCCAAAAATATGAGGGACAGTAACATGGTTTTAACTGTATTGTGACAGGACAATGGATATGAGATGGTCCATATCCTGTCAAGAAATAGGATTACTAAAAGCAGATTCTTTTTTGGACCAATGTCATGACAAATGTAGGAAGGTTGCCAGAAAATTTGGCTATCACTGCCCTGACTGTTTAAAGTAGTGTAGTCTGAGTTGAGTATCACCACTCGGGGATGGATACAAGTTTGCTTCCTCCCAACGATAAGGTGGCTAAATTGGATATTTGTGCACCTAGCATAAGATATTACATGTCTGTGATGACTTGAGAAATATAGCTGAACTTTTAGTGGACATCAATGCCACCAGAACTTTGCTCAAACTCTAGTGCTCCAAATGAAACACCACTTTGACATGACAGTGCTGACTTCATTCTGGCAAATGGTAATAAGCTAAATGTGAATGTAGAAGGGCATCTCCATCTTGCTATAGGTCCAACTTCTTGCAGAATGTAATTGTCTCTGCCTGGGATAAATCTGCAAACTTATCAACAAGTATTGCTTGTAGAACAGGTGAGATGGAGCTTTATAGGAAAATAATCCAATGCTGACTTGTGAAGGCCCAGAAAGAGTAGAGTGCACATATACATTTTGAGGAAGGAATCACTGTAACTTTTATTGTGCAAGTGATTTCCTGTGGTGTTATGAGGACTATGTCTAATGTATTTCCATTCTCTACTGCAGTGATTGGGCCAACATAAAAACTTTTCTATCCAGAAATCAAACTTCACTTGTTTTGACAGTTATTAAGCTTCCAACTGTAATGCTTGTTAACATAATGACCAAAGAAGTAAGTAAACTGGCTTAATAGCTTTTGATGCTACAGATTTACTATGCTTGTATGCACAGATATTGATCAGAGTACCTGAGATTGTTGAATAAGGATTGTGAAGACACTCTGAGCTTAGAACAGAAGGGCAACTCTGTAAGTTGCTGGTGGAAGTTTTCAGCATGTTTGTTAGACCAGTGGTCAGCTAGGTAGGATAACACTCAGTCCTCATTACACAGTTACAGGTCTAATATTAATAAGTGCACTGCACTCTTTATTAGAGCAATAGTATGTCTCTAGTACTGAGATATGGACAGTTAATGGGAAAATTTGTGTCATTGCTGATATTGTAGTTATTACTCAGATTATAGCTGGAATGCTTTTTGACATGATGAGTGAAGCCGAAATTAATTGAAACTGTATAACTTGTGTTGCTTTAGATTTACCATGCATGACAGTGAATGCACAGCTATTAGAGCACCTAAAGTTATTGAATAAAGATTGTGCAGACAATCTGAGCTTAGAATAGAAGAGGAACTCTGTGAGATGCTAGTGAAAGTTTTCAGTGTATTTATAAGAGCAGTTGGCCAACTGGTAGGACAACCATCACATAATTACAGATGTCATACCTAATAAGAAAGCACAGAGCAAGCTTTATTAAAATACTAAGGATGTTGCTAGTGCTGAAATAGGGCAAACGTCAAAAGATGGAATAATATAATCTTTGGGAAGTATTTGATTACATTTAGTAATTATTGTGAAGAAAGATAGGACACCAAGGCTTTGTCTGGATACAGGACAAGTGAATTGGGTAATATTATTAGTGTCCTTCTGTTGCACAGATTGGTATACAAGCTTGAAGTCACCATTGGCTCATTATGCTAGACTTGGCATCTGGCAAGTCAATCCTGATGTTAAAAGCAGACCCACAACTGCTTTTGGCATCTGGAAAGAAGAAAGATTGACACTGGTTTCTGTGTTGGAAATGATAAACATACTTTATTAACAATGTAAAAGTAATGACTTGATATGTGTAAGTTTTTTTGATGGATCATCCTAGCTTAGCACTAACAACGTTCCTCTTGGTCACTTTTCTATATATACTGTGACTGGGGGCTGAAGAAAGTTCTGAAAAACTCCATGTAAAGGGTTGAGCACATTATATTAAAACGATTTGGAATATAGAAATAAGCAAGTTAAGCTACAAACTCTGCTGATACAGCATCGTGGTGGTACAGCATGTATTACAGCTACATTTTAAAATTGTTTATATTTAAGTAGGTTGCAACCAAATGTGTGGTCCCATCATATACAGGGGTTACAGTTTTGTTTAATGAAAGAGTTCCCCAGTCCTTCTCTGTGTAACAATCTTGATCTTCCTCTGTAGTATGAAGGCATACCATGTGTTTCCTACCCGTTAGGTAGCATATATATTTTTCAAACTTTTTCTACATATTGTATATAGTCTTACCATAGCATGTCAGTCAAAGAAACCACTAAATTCCTTTTACCTTAGTATTCATGGAACTAGATCACTCAACTAGGTTGTCACATGCATTTTCTCGTGAGAATGATTCCTGTAATATATAGAAATAGACATTTCCCACTAGTAAGCCAGGTGTTTCCGAAGAATACAACCTCCTTTGTTTTGGAGTGAGAGTAACCGTCAGTTATGTGAGTAGCACCTTCACTCTGAGAAGAACAGTATTCTTATTTCTTTTTGTTGGTAAGCACAAAGCCACACAATGGGCTATCTGCCCACTAGGGTATTGAAACCCTCTTTTTATCGACATAAGCCCTCACTACAAATTTACTGCAGAGCCACAAGAAGGCACTGTTGTTATTAGTATAAGCGGCACATTTTCTCGGTCATGGAAGAGGTGATTTGAGATTTTCACAGATATTGGTTTGCTTTAAAAACTCCGAGAGCTGTCATTTAAAGGTTCCACAAAATACACCTGCCTTTATCCATGTCTGTGTTTGTGTAACTGTGATTAAAAATTTCACTGTACTATACATCACTTGTGTCCAGTCTCTTACTTTTCTTCAAACACAGTTGAGGTTAAGAGAACTCCGATTTTGCCGCGTATAACATATTATGGTGAGCTTCCTGTGGCTCCTACTCGATTTTTCCAAGAGAAGTAAGTGAACATAAGAATAACACACCTCACTGCAAGTATACCTAATTCAGTTACTACTGTGTACCCTTGTAAACCCAGCATTCTTATTCTCCTTTCTCCCCAAAGGATTATTTACGCTAACAAGAATTTCTAATTTGTAAATTATAATGTATTGTTATATGCAAAACTCTGATAATTAATTTTTTATATGTTGTTTGTTGTGAATCACAAAGCTACGCAATAGGCTATCCGTGATCTTTTTACCTCATGTATAGAAACCCGATTTTTAGCGTTATAAGTTCCCAGACTTACCGCTGAACCACGAAGGGTTTAAATGTATTAAACGAAAAAAATATATTCTCGAACATACTTTCATAATGTTTAAAATTACTGATATCGCAAAAACAGGTCATGTAATCTTTCAGACCAAACTTTATACCAGCAATTTATTTTGGTTAAAATTATGTCATCTTTTATTTATTGATTATTTTACGCATAGTTTGTTTCGAATAAAATTCGACATGTAACTTATTTTGTACATAACTAAAAGCACTCCAGTGGCACAACGGTATGTCTGCGAACTTATACTGCTAGAAACCGGGTTTCGATAACCGTAGTGGATAGAGCACAGATAGCTCTTTATATAGCTTTGTGCTTAATAAAAAACAACACCATAAATAAGAATATAATGCTTTAAGCGAATAGTTTACATTAGGAATATTTAATGAAAGACATATTATTATATTAGTCGTGCAAAGCTACACAATGGATCATCCGTGTTCTATGCCCCAGATTTTAGCAGTTGTAAGTTTGCAAGACTGCTGCGGACTTTATGAAGGAGTAACGAGCCTGATTTAATTTAATATCTTTTAATTATTCAAAGCAACCTATTCGACTTATCTTTCAAATACGTAGTGTGCATTTTTGTACTGGTTGGCCATATATCATAATCGTTTAACAAGTGTTTTTGTTTACAGCATTCTATACATCAATTAGTGTTAACCCGTTCTGAAAACTGATCGTTTACAAAAAAAAAAAAGGAAGAAAGATTAAGAGTTTATTTGTTTTCAGCTGAATTAGCTATTTTATTCAATCGATTTTTAAGTATGTTTTTTAATTTTTAGGGGGAAAAGTAGTTTAATATACTGAGCCAAAGTTTAGACTGAACAAATTAAAATATTTTAAAAGCAGGTCAACAGTGACATACAATGTTACCGACTTGTTGTCCCCTGGTTTTCCTGTTTTAAAATTAAATGATCGAAGAAGATTACGCACGAAAATTTATCTGTTTAGATGGCAGCACTATGTTTCCGTTATAAAAACAATAATGGAAGATAATGTATTAATAGTTTGTTGTTGGGTAAGTTTGTAACGCTAATACTAATAGGCATAGTTTTGGCTTTTGCTGCTTATGGATAGTACTAGCAAGGGTTTCTTTACTACTTTTAGTTTTACCGTGGTTACCCTAAAATGTTACATTCACATTGTTAATGCTATAACTTGTAAGTTATAATGTTGCTCGTGTAACTGTAACAGTGTAAGACCTAATACTAATAGTGAGTAATACTGTAGTAGTAATATAGTTTAAGTTTCTACTTCGTAAAACTAAAACTGAAATTTGGCTTGTGAAATCTCTCGCCGTAAACTCAGAATATTAATTAATTAGTATGACATTCTAGGTTCTCCATGCACATCCGCTCATGAGGAAAGTTAAAAACTTGAACCTATCCTCAAATTTAAGGACATCAATTCTTCCTTTTAAAACTTGTAAACTGTGGAAAATGGCAACAGGTCTTAGACTTGGAGACGAAGTTTTGCTTTTAAGTGGAAGGGTTGCAGTAGATAATATTTCAAGAAGGTACAGGTAAAACTAAAAGGGCAAGACATTTTGAGAGTAATGCATTTAGGTCTAGGCAAGTTTCATCCATTAGCAAGTGAATAAGGGTGCTGGATTATAAAAAGGGAACAGTTGGGATGATAATGCCAAGTAATAGTTCATCATAGTTCTAGGTAGAACTGGGTGATTTAATTTATATAATCAATTACTTATGAGCAATGATTACATCGATTAATATCCCATAAACTAATGTATTAAATGGAATTATAATTTATTGATTGGCATGATGAAAATAATCAACTAATTAAAATTAGGGTTTTTGATTACTTTAAATATTCAAGTATTTGAAATATTGTCATTATGTTTGGTGTTAAGTGCAAACTTACATAATAGGCAGATGAGGGATGCTTTGTGGGTTTGGTAGTGATTCCTATTGCTACTAAATTTAATGTTCCTGACTTTGTTATTACAAAACTACTAAGGCTATCTGCTACTGTAATTAATTTTAAACTGTTTACTAGAGGGAAAACAACTGGCTGGTAGCACTCACCACAAATTCATTGACTACTTAAGTGTTAAATAAAGTGTAAATTTACTACTTTTCCAAACTGTGTTATGTTTCTGAATAATAACTGTATTCATTAATATTGTATATGCAGGTGCAGATCTGGTGGAAGGGTCCTCACCCCTATCCAATATTATTCCTTAATTTGTATTCTTTAATGCTGTATAAACAGGTGTGGTTTGAATGGAGGGGGTCCAGAGTAGCAACACCCTCACCCCATCCACTTATTTTTATATATATTATTATTTAATGTTGTATAAGGCACCTGTCCACTACTCAAAACACTTGCAAACAAATACTAGTAAGTGGCTTGCATATTCAACCCTTAACCACCTTCTAAATCATTGGAAAAATATTTTCTTGTCCATGAACCTTATCATTCTTTAAACTTTCCAACTACTTCTTAACAAGCTCAGAATTAATGTGGTCACTTTGTTTATCAATTATTATTCCCTCTAGCAAATGTACAGGATGAGGAATACTGCTTAAATTTATATTAGTAAAAACTGAAGATAACAATAAGGCAGTCTAATAATCATTACAAATAAGCCTTCCCTTATCACCCCTGAAAAAATGGAGGGGGTTTGCCTCCCATATATCTGTGTCTACAAAGTTGTCCATTTAATTATAGACCTATTTATTAGTCTTATATCAGTGGTGAGTAAAGATTTGAAAGTATAATAAGATACTTTTCAGAGTAATTTAACAAAGTTTAGAATTGTGTTGATAGTCAACTTGGCTTTATTAAGGGAAAATATTTTCTAACTGTTCCTTTGACAGTCTTTGAAGAGGTTACTGCTGATATTGACAATAATGATAATACATTAGTAATGTGGCATCACACGAACACTACAGACAAGATTCAAGAATTTATGAACCAACAACATCCTGCAATACATGTATAATAATAGAAGTGTGACTGTATTTTACAAAATACTGGTCCACTAAAACACAGCCAAGACAGGTCACTTTGTAAAGATTAAAGCCGCAAAGGTCAGTTATATATTATTGGATATAGTATAACGAGTGCATGTGCACTGCATCATTGTAACTTCTGTATTGTTAGCCAGGCATGGCTGGAAGGTCAATGTAATAAGAATAATAAATATATACATAAATGTAAAATGTTATAAGATATAAGCTATTTAGACTAATACATTTGTGTTTTTATGTTATAATTTGTAGTCATTCTAGAATGAAAAAAGCACAATTTATATTTTTTTCCTCATTTTTTATTGAGGTTACAAAGTCAGTCAAATCAAACCAGTCCATACAGAAATGCAGTAGTGAAAATAATAAATAAAATATAAAGTTTTTCTAAAAAAATATGATAATTATCTGGAGATTATAAAGATTTTGCATGTGAAATTTGAAAATATTCTAATTTATCAAAGTATTTTTAATCTTAAAATCAAAATTTATTTGCATGTTGGATGGTCAACATTCTGAGAGAAAAAGGTTTACAGAGAATCTCTAATTAAAAAAGCTTAATTCTTAGTTTAAAAACCTGATACTTTGTGCTTGAAAACGTTGTAATGTTTACCAATAACCTGCAAAATGTGTATATATTAACAAAAATCATAGTATAATTACTGTCATGGATATTTTCGAGGTTATGAGCTGGGTAGAATCCACCCAACCTGTAATGGAAGGGTTAAAGGGGAGAAAGGGAAGGGGTTATGGACATACAGAAAATATTTATTGGATTGCATAAATTTAGTGATTAAACTTTAAAGTAAAGCACTTAAATCAATACATTTAAAAAACACTATACTTAATTTGTGTAATCTGATATTAATTTTTGTAAGTGGAGGTAAAAATGTTTACATTTTCATTGAGATTCTGCAGTATCTGAATTTATGACAAACAATTTTATTACTGTGAAAGAAATATCATTATTTAAATGTCTCTTTGAGTTTCCACTTATAAAAACACAAAGATAATTAAAATTAGTTGAAAGGAAAAATATCAAGCAGATTTCATGTCTTGTAGTATGATGCCATAGTTGGTGAAGCCTTAATTTTTAAATGGTATAAGTGAAATATTAGTTTGAAATAAGATTGGTAATTAGTTTTATTCACATTCATCTATACTTGTCTAACAAGAGTTTCCAGTTAGAACATACTCTATTTAGTAGAATTTTATTTGTACTTTATTCAATTTTCATTGATGATAGAGCTCACTGTGTTAAAACATACTGAGTCATAGTTAAAATATTGCATTGCTTTCATTAATGAGACAAAGTATCTTTGTTGCACATTGTATAATGTGCAATAGTAAAGAAGGACATGGTTAAAGCAATAATTAGTCTTACTGTTATATTACATATTTACTGACTACAAGAGTTGAAATTTGTTAAAATAAAATATAATATGCTGTGCTGTTGAAAAAGGTGTCTTTGGTGCTGTGTAAATAAGCTTACAAAAATAATAGTACATGTGTTTATATATATATATATATATATATAATGTAAAATTTTTTGCATTGTTTTCTTTTTTTTAACTGTCAGCTTTGTCACATTTGTTGCCATAGGTCATACGCTGACTTGTGGCTTCAATAATTGTCTTTTGTAAGACTAATGTAATTACATAATAACTTGCACTTCAAGCTAACACAAGAATGATCTCTTTATAAGGGTTTAAAGTGGTAATATTATGGTTGGTTAGCTTGTATGTTGTGTTCATTGTGCTTATGAGTACTGTTACTTCTGAATTAATGAGATACATTTTATGAGTAGATTTTATTCAGTAACACCTACTTTGATTAAAACGTGGAGGAATTTTTTATGAAAAAGTTTGTGTAAAGAAATATAATTATAACGATATATATATATATATATATATATGTATAATCAATGTTTTATTTTCTTACCTCAGGAAGAAGGGAACTTTGTTTTTAGATAGACCTTGTACTGAACCATTGGACAGACTCAGTTGGATTTATGTAACAGACACCAAGGTAAGAAAGAAATGGCAGGTAACTGTGACTTCTTCTCTGATTGCCTGGATGAAGTGGCACTAGAAGGTCTAGATGGTATCACACTTTCTGCTCTGTGGACAAGATTGAAGAAAAGGCCTAACTTTCAGTTTCCAATAGATGATGATAGTAAGCAGTTTATTTGGGAAGCTCTTGTCCTTCATGAAAATATCCAACTATATGAACTGCCAAATCCCAGGCCTCCGTTGGTTATCTTCAACAGATATGACTACCTGGATATGGAAGATGGTGTTGTAGTAGAACCAGAAAATTTACCAGAAGATTGTTATCCTATAACGATAATCAACAGAGATGGAATTAGGGGTTCATGTTCCACTTTTTCTTCAAGAAGATTGATAACATCTGAAGTCCGTAATAATAACCAAATTCTTATTACCCATAATGAGGCTGTTGAAAAGTGGGGTGAAAAACTTGTGTTTGTTGCAGACCAGAGAGTACGTGAAACTGCACTTATTGGAACTGAAGTGAGTCCATGTTTGGAACTTTCTAGTGAACAGTATTGCATGCTGGAAAGGATTGGTCGTTCTCGTTACCAGGGAGAGGTTACTCAAGGGAAACAAAGCTTGCAGGTAATAAATAGCTCACCTAAAACTTTATATTACTATAGAAAACCTCTCCTTCGGAAAGGAATTATTACTAAACAAACTCACCACTTGAAGTATGGAAATAATAATACTGCTACTGGAAGTCTTCTTCATCTTGCACGATTCTTTGTGGAAGTCATGCCCAAGATGCAAGTAATGTTGAATCAACTTTGTGAGTCTCTTTCTTTAAAACCAAACAAAAGAGAAGTTTTCCATAAGGTGCGTAACGAGCTTGGAATGAAAGAGGCAAGTTTTAAGAAATTGTTTTTTAAACCCTACGGAAGAAACCTGAAAACATTAATGTTACCTTACAGAGAAATGTATCCTGAAGCATCTAAAGCAGAAGCTTTTACATTGAGTGGAAAGGAAAGGCTTGTTAAAGTTGCTGAGTTAGTTGAGTCTCGGGAAAATCATGAAGGTGAAGAATATCCTGATGAAGAAGAAAAAGATGAAGATGAATCTGTGGGAATAAGCTATGATCCCAGCAAATTTGTGTATGATCGTCCTCTTTTAAATCAAGTCTATGATATATTAAAAGCAGAAGGAGCAGATGGTATTTCACAGTTGGATATATCAAAGAAAATGGGATTGCCAAAGTTAGAAAGTAGGCTTGTGTGTAGAAATTTAGAAAGAAAAGGTGTTGTAACAACATTCATGAAGGATTTAGGAAGACAAAGAATCACAACATATATTGCTAAGTGTTTTGAACAGAAATCGGAATCTCACAAGAAACTGTTGGAAGAAAGAAAAAGAATTCTTGAACTTTCCAAGGATGTTGCACAAGAAAATCTACCCTGTTCTTCAGAGTTAAATATTTCTGAGCCCATCCAAGCAGCTAATGATATTTTACAGGAGAAGCCTGGGGCTGAACATCTTTCTAAGGTGACTGCAGAAGGCCCTAAAGTGGAACCGGAAGTAATGCAAAGTAAAACACGTTCTTTTAGTATAACAGAAGAAGTGAAGCACATGTATGACAATGCACGCAAAGACACAGCCCATGTCACTTTAAGAATGCTAAAGAGGGCTACTTTAGTAATAGAAGCAGTGAAGAAGGAAAAACTGATTGATGATGTATTTAAACTTCAGAAATTAGTAATTGAGGCTGAAGCTCAAGAAGGTTCTCTTCAAAAAGTTGACAAAAAATCAATGAATCGACTGATATCCAGACTTGCAAAAGATGGTTATGTTAGAAGTATAAAAACTATCCTTAAATTAGGCGAACAAATTAAAAAACTTCACTTTGTGTGTGATCCTAGTATTACAGTTCATGATGCTCTTGTTAAAAGTACAATTGAACAGGCCAAGTTTAAGTATTTTGGTGTGAGTAAACAGCAGATGAAAAATGCTTCTGAAAAAAATAAATTATTTGATGGTACAGATATTAGTAACTTGAGCCAACTTCAAAGCAAGTATGATAAACAAACAAAGATGGAATATGTTCCATCTATTGGCAGAGTATTTGGTGTGGGAGCAAAGTTTCTTAGGATGAAAACTCTTCATTTGTTGCTGTACTATTTGGTGTATGATTATCAAGGTCAGGACTCTCTTTTGCAAGAAGGAAATCATCCAAAAATATACAACACTGAAAGAAATTGGAAAATGTTTATTCCACCTCTTCCTAAGCATCGTGGATTTGAGAAGGGTTGGTGTTTGTTTAGTGATGTCTTATTGGCCATGCCCTTATCAATATTTGTGAAAATTGTGAATATTACCTACAAAATTGATGGTCTACAGGAATATTTAAAACACCCAATACAATGTCATTACCTTATTAGACATATTCCCCAACATCTTCGAAATGCGTTACTGTATGCTCGTAGATACATATTTTCTGCACATGAAGTAGCAATGAAACTTAGCTTTATGGGTCTTCTCAGCTTTGGACCTCACAAACACAAAGAAAAGGACCAGATGTTTATCTATGTTCACCAACATTCATCCATTAGTGATACCACTGCTTCACCTCCTAGTTATGTCCATGTCTCACAGGACATAGTGTATCAGAAGAAATGCTATACTTTCTCCAGCATTGACATAGTGGAGCATTATTGGAATGATTTACAGGATATATGTTTGCACACTCCTCTAGGAAAGCCCAACTGTGTACGTGGTCAGGAAATCCCTTTCATGAATCTGTTTAAAAAACCAGCCATGATTGAAGCTTCACGCAACAAGGAACCAGAAGAAATACTGGATGATGGATCTCAACCAGGTGATAATTTGGGTGCTGGAGGATTAGACTCTAGCCTGTTTGCTCACCTAAAAAGGAACTGGGCAGGAAATAATTTGGAATATCATCTTCCTCGCAAAGTTCCATGTATGCGTCAAGAATCAGGACAAGGCACTGTAGGTATAAGCTACTTAGAGTACTTGAGGAGTAGTAGTTCTGCTGTTAAACCACTTTTAGATAATAAAAAACGTCTTGGTCGTTTGAAAAACAATACTGGACTTTCTGTCTATGCCCCTCAAACAAAAGGGTCAGAAAAAGCTCCGTTATTAAATGTTTCTGTTGAATCAAAGGAAAAGGTTAAAGCCAAACGAAAAATTGAAAATCAACAAAATGAAAATCTTCCCAAGAAAAAGAAAAAATCGGACATAACTATTCGAAAAATTCAAGGAAGAAAAAAAAAGGAGAAAAGGCCATTTTATGACGAGAAAGATAAAGCTGCTTTAATGTGCATGTCAAAACTAAGAGTAGATTGGAAACCTGAAGAAGACAGTTTCATTCTTTTAGGAAAAGTTGCATCTTGTTTTCTTAATCCTAATTATCCAAACATGGTGGTTCGTTGGACAATGATCAGAGACCTGCTTCATAAACATTTGCCTGCAGTTAGCCGTAACAAGACCTCACGGGCTTGCCAAAGGAGGTTACGTTATATGATGCTCAACCCAGGTACAGTTTCTAATGTTTCTGTGTTTTTGGGGGAAGCTCGACAGGACCAGAACCTTGTTCAGGAGTTCCATGGCCCCAAACCACCTTTAACTCATGAGGAAAAATGGAATACCATGTTTATTTCTGTTATGGAGAAATTACTGGAAAAGTTTAAGATAAAAGATGTAAAAAAAATTGATGAAATGATTCTTCCATCAACTATTGAAGAGCTTTTAGCAAAGTACGAAATCAGTCTTTCAGGAAGTCTAGGAAATAAAAAACCTCTTTATGAAGAGCCAAAAAATATTGTTGACATCTACTATGCTGTTGCACAGACCATTGTAATTGCATCATTGTGTACTGTTGGAGACAAGAGTAATTGGTCTTATATTTTGTATGAAATATACCAACAATATCCAGAAAATCTTTTGAGGTATGTAGTCAGTGGATTGCAAAATGATCAGCTAATTGCCAAACGTAAAGGCTTTCATCATACTGGAACACATTCAACACCATTGTCATCTGTACCTTATCGGTTATCTGTGACTTTTGAAAACACTTTTATTACTCGTTATCAGCCAGAAATATATACAGAAGCATGGGAATTAGTGAAGGAAGGTAAGACCAACTTAACTGGGGACCTAAAGCCAGGATATTGTGCAGCAGTTATTGGACTGCTGGCCTTGAGGAAATTGGTTTTTCAACTTCACATTCCTGACCAAATAATTATGCTTGATACAAATTTTGGAGAGGATCCTCAGCCAGAAGCCATGTTACAGGTGGAGAAAATGGATATGGATACAAAACAGACCAAAAGTGATCAATTACCCACTGAATCAAATGTTGAAACTGATGAATTGGGGTGTAACAATTCTGTAACTAATGGAGTGAAAGGTTGTGGGATTGTGAAAAGTAATTTCACCACGGATTGTGAGAAAAATAATCCAGTTAGCAGCATTCAATTTGAAACAACTACAGTTTCCAAAGCTTCACGCTTTGCTCTATACATGATGCAACAACAGCTGAATAAGGTAATTCTTACAGAAAAAATCCAACATGTACAGGATTCTTTTGTCATTAATTCTTGTAGGATTACTTGCCAGCTAATACACACAAGTCATGAAACTGAGGCTTCTAATGTATCAAAGCAATCCATTAAAGATGTTATTAACTCTCAGCAAATATACTTGCCAAAAGAACTGTTAGAACCCAGCTTGGATTGCCTTGAAGAATTTTACAGTAAAAACAATTTTCCCCCAAAAGATCTAGAAATTTGTAAATTTATATATGAATACATACAACAAAAAAAAGAATTTGGTGCTACAGAAGTAGAACTGTTGGAAATGTTCATAAATTCAGATGGGATTTTAAGTGTTAAAGATCATTTATTCTTCCTGTGTAAGCATTTCTTTATTTTAAAGGTTGGGGTTAAAATTTGGCGGTATGTTTCTTTTTCACACACTAAGCCATGGATTGTGTCCTCAGTAAAAATCCCTAAAGAACTTAGATCATGGTTTTCTGAAAATTACCAAATGAAAAGTTCTGTAAAAGACAAAATTGCAACAACTACTGATAGCTTGATGGAAACCTTGTCAAGACAGGATGTAAAATATTCTGTTCCTGTGAAAAAGTCTAGACTGGACTTATCAAATAGTAGTCCTGAAAAAAATGTAGACAATACTAGACAAAAATGTTCTGTTGAAGAAATTGATGGAAATTATGGCAACAATAGCAAGCAGAACTACAAGGAACCGTGTTCTACAGAAACAACTGCTACAGTAGACAGTGACAGTAACAAGCAGAGAGAGCACTCTTTATGTTCAACAGAAGTTACTGAACTTGAAGAAAAAGATAGTGACAAACAGGATCTGCAAGCTTCATGTTCTGTGGAAATAACTAACACTACAGATGAGAATAGCAACAAGCAGAATCAGCAAGCTTCATATTCCTTAGAAATAATTGATGTAACAGATAGTGACAAGCTGGTTTCATGTTCCACAGAAATAGATGATGCTGTGGAAGGAGATTGTGGCACTCAGAAACAGCAATCTTTATGTTCTATGAAGACAACTAATGATGTTGAAGGAAATAGTGACAAGAAGGATCATCATGCCTCATGTTTTCTAGAAATAGGTGATACTGCAGAACGAGATAGTGACAAGAAAGAACAGATAACTTTATGCTCCACAGAAATAACTGACATTCCAGGTGTCAGTCGTAATAAGCAGCATCAACAAGCGTCAGATTTCATTGAAATAACTAATGCCGCAAGAGGTGATAATGGCCTGCAAAACCAGCAAGCTTATAATTCTGTGGAAGTAACTGATCCTACAGATGGAGGTAGTCACAAAGAAGATCAGCAGACTTTAAGTTCTGTAGAAATAACTGATTCAGCAAGTGATGGCAAACATACTTCATGTTCCAAAGAAACAGCTAATGCTGTAGAAGGAGATAGTTACAACCAGAACAAGCAGGCCTTGGATTCTATGAAACAAACAAATGATGTAGGTGGTAACAAGAAGAACAAGCAAGTTTCATATTTCACAGAAATAACTGATGCTGGAAAAGGTGATAGTGTTAAGCACAACCAACAGGCTTCGTGTTCCTCAATAATAACTAATGCAGCAGATGGTGACAAGCAGAATCAGCAAGCTTTATATGTCACTGAAGTAACTGATGCTACTGATGGTTACTATGACAAAGAAAATGAAAGAAATGATAAAGTAAGTAAACTGGAAGATAGTGATGAGCCTGTAGATTATGATAATCATCATAATGAGGTCAGAACATGCATTTTATCATCTGAAGGACTCTCTTCCATGGAAGAAGTGGATAGGCAGCAGAAAGCTTCAACTTCTGTGAAAAAATGGGGAGAAGGATATGAAATTGGTTTAAAACAGCAGGACCCAGCATCATGTTGTTTGGCAGAAATTGATAAAAGAGGAGGAAGTGCTGACTTGCATCAAGATCAAGCTATATGTGTTAAAAAAAGGGATGCAGTTGATGGAAACACAGTAAAAGGAAAGAGATTTACAGATGTTTTTACAGTAGATACTCAGTCATCTGATGTTATTAAACCTGGTTCTACAGATGAAAAAGAACCCCAGGTTTTGTCTAGAATGGTGAGACGCCGCCGATGTCGAGGCATCAGTAGTTTACATCATGGCTTCAGTTGTGATCGTTTAGAGAAGGTTTCTTTTATAATTCGACCATGGAGAAAACCCGATGGGAGTTTAAACAGACCAATATTGAAAAAAATGTTGTGTGCAGTTTTGTCTTACATCATGACATTCCCTGGAATTAAGCAGGATGACATATGTGACCACTTCACTGGGGCTTTGAAACCCATTTACACACTGGAGCTACTAGAAATTCTCCAAGAGCTGAAGTGTGTGTGTAGTTTTACCTTAGTTGATTCACATGAACCATCACTGTTTTCAAGTTTGATCCAGTACCGTATTGAATTGGACAAGAACCATTATAAGGACATGTATTACGAAGCTACAGTGGATGCTATTCTTAAGCTTGGAGAAATGGTGGATGAGCTTGTAAATAGATCTCAGTAAAATTAAGATATGAACTGTAACTCTCTCAAATGAGAGGAAAGATTATAATGAGGATTTAGAAGACTGTTGTAAATTTAATGAAGCAAAACAAGTTTGTACATCTCTATAATGTTGAAATCATATGTGAGGTTTGGAAATTAATGTGTGTTATATAAGAATAATTAAGCTTTTAATTGCAATATTACATAAAATTTAATCTTGGGAAAATTCTTGAAGGACTTAAAGTGAGTAATGTATGTACAGTTGAATAATGTTTTGACATTACTTATTTTCTACATATAAAAGTGATTGTAACTATAATAAAATTGTGTTTTGTCCTTTGTGTAATTATTGCTTCTCTTTGATTTCTGCTGTATGTTAGACGTTTCACTTTTCACTAAACCTCACAGAACTGTTAATTTCGAAGTCACATTTATTCATACATTATATAGAAAATTTTGTTCATTTTTAAGGTACCACATTTTGAAGTACATATATGTTTGAAAAGGTTTTAACAGTAGCTGATTGGACAATTAACACGGAATTATTACAACACACATACATGAGTTCTTGAATAGCTTTATCTCCTGTTGCATTCGTATAAATGCATTTAAGTTTATTCTAGGTCTCCAACAAACATTTTTGATGAGTAGTTTATTACAAAACTTGGATTAAATCAAGTGTCATATGAATCTATAACTTAATATTAATCAGATTTAAATAAAAAATGGGCCTATTCTATATACCTTAGTTATGGCAAGTTTTGAAAGTATTATATTGGTAATGACTGAAGGCTGTTTGGAAGAAGGAGTTTTGTGTAACATTAAATTGATCTATTCTGTTTCGTAAGCTCACATGTGAGTTACAGCTTCTAATATAATTTTAAAATTGTAAACACAATTTATAGTTTAATAAAAGAAATTATAAATGTAAAACATATTAGAGTTAGAAGAGTTTGTTATAAATTATGAACCCAGTGTTATTTTGCTTTTGATGGAGACAGGCCCACTGTGAAAGCTGTAGGTTTTCATGTGTGCTGTTTAAATGTGATTTTCCAGCCTCTCTGATCCACATTTCCTTAATTTGTTTCGTAAGTATACCATTCAAGCAATTAATATCACCAGTATAGAAGTTATAAATATGGTTGTATTAGCTAAACTGCTTTAATAACCATAGTTTCCTTATATTAATTTGTTTGAAGTTTATTGATTTCTTAATTTTCTCATCAAGTTGTAGAGATTTTACTAGCTCAACAATAAAGTACACTTATCTGATATACAGTGAAATGTAACTCCATTTACAACATATTTTTATAACACATTCAGAAGAGGGGTGGGTTGGCCCTGTGATGTATGAATTTCAGAGTAGGTGAGTTAATGTAAAATTTTCAAAACTTTTTGTGTATTCCAAGTCTGTGCTATTTTTGTACAACATATGGTCCAGAAAGTAGGTAAGTTGATTTCTCTATAGCTGCCTTTGTTTTGTTATTCTCTGGTGATAATAGCTGATCTGCTCCTTGAGTTATTACTGTAATGTTGAACGTTATACAAGAATGTAGATTATATGTCAAGGCTACAGCCTCCCTTACACTGAATGAGAATTACCAGTCATTTGGTTGTGTTAGTTGAAATGGGTAAACCTCATGTTTTCTGTTAGATTTAAACAGTAATACAGGGGATCTGAAGTCAGTAAGTTGATGAAGAGATGAAGGAAGAAAGCCAGTTGATCAATTCATAAGTAGTGAAAGATGACTTTCCAGTTTACAGTGCAAGTACTCGTACTGTGTTTTTGTCTTTGTGAATAAATAAAGATTATTTTCATTTTGTATTACACATTGCGTTCAGTATGTTTATTTATTTGTTTAAACTCAGTATAGTTATATTCAGTATTATTTTGTGAGTTATCCTGCCAATTCTCCCATTATAAACCAGGCGTTACTAATACTTATGGAAATCAGCTTAACCTGAGAATAATATGAGTGTATTAGAAAATAGATTACTCCAAAATGTTAATACTGAACTGAATTTGTGTGAATTTTATATAAATCCCTATCGAATGAAATGAATTGTAGCACATATAGTACTGTTAAGGTGTATTTTATAGCTATGATAAATCTGTCGTCCTGTATCTAATCAATTTAATAATATACACGAGTAGTAACTTTTGATGGTTATTGATTGTGCTTTAGAAAATGTGGCCCTAGCTAAGAAAGCTTTGGAAAAATGTTGACCAAAGGTAGAAGACTAACTGCTTTCCACAATTGACTAGGAGCTGCAAGACCTCCAACAACAAATAAATATATTTAGTTCTTTCTTCACATAGTTCGTGTTGTGATACTGCTATTATGAAATATGTTGATCATAAATGACTGAATTGCAATGTGTTTCAATTACTGCATTAATGTTTCATTTTGAGGAAGTTTGTAATTGATTGAAAAGGGCTATTACGAAACTGCTTTTTTTTTATTTTGGTGTATGAATATATATGTATCTGGTGCAGTAAATATGTAATTTATTGTTCTTTCATTGGTGGATTCTTTTAAATTATCTGGTGAAAATAATACAAAGTAGGTACACTTAAACTGTAACAAATTAATTCATTTCCGCCTTTAGCGTTCTTACAAGCCTAATCACTTGTACACTGTAGTAAGTTGTTGTAGGCCTATGTTACAAATGACGTTAACTAACGTAAAACAAATCAAATTACGTGTACAAAGTAAAGCAATAACCGCGGTAGTAGACACAGATTGAAAAACCAATAAAACTCACTGACTGATTCAACTCTCTTCAAGTAACTTTATACACACAAAACTATCTTTCAATTTTACTTTCGAAACAACTCTACACACTTGCCAGCTAACTTGTATTTATAATTTAGTATAGAATATATGCGAAAACTTTTTTGTCACATCCTTAAAACTTTCTAGGTGTTCTAAAACTCGCAGCTCCCGCTAGCCAACATTTAAATTACAACATTAAAAATGTAGCTTTTAACAATAACAATGTTAAAGTTTTTCATATTTACTTTGAAGGCTGTTTGATTTAAGTTTTTGTTTTTAATTTATTCTCACGTAGCAGGCGAGTGTATTTCTTTTCTAGTATATATTTCCATTAGACATTAAAAGCATTAGCTCGTCTATTTGTATGATAGACAGAAATTATTTATTTTTACTTAGTTCCTAGTATAGAACCTGGAAAAGTTTATTCAGAAGAAGTGTTAATCTCACAATATATATTATTTCTATAGAGAGCTCATTCAGGCGAGATATATGTTATCTTATGGAGTTGTGATCAACATGATCTTGTTTGAGAATGAGGCTATTTTACAAATGTCACATGAGTTAGAAAATGTCACCAAATTCCTAAAATTTGGTTAAATGATTGATTAAGACATTAAGAGAATGTGAATTATGAAAACAGTTTGGAGCTTTCTATGGAGTTGCATTTCCTTTAAAAGAGACAAGAAGTACAGGTGTAGTTATATTTCGTTCTTTCTTTGTTTAAATCCTTTAGTTACAGGCAACGTGTTTATAAAGACCAATTTAAGTTCTTTTTCAATCCAGTTAACTTTTATTTACAGTTTCATTCAGTTACAATCAGTTTATCTATTTAGTAATTTACTCTTTTTATACCTCCTCTAGAATCAGTGACAGCTTCTTTTGTTTTTCCTTCAGTTGTGTATGCTGTTGTTATAAATAGTTTTTTTGTTCGTCTGCAGTTTTGTTTTCCACTGAAATGTTGACAAATCATTACATTTTTGTTTGCAGATACTAAATCATAGAATATCACAGGTGTAATATAATAAGTCTCTGATTCAGGACCATGTATATGCAAAATACAGATGCAATAGCTATTATTTACTGCGAGTTCAATTTAGTGTTATCATTCTACGAGTGATATCATTAAAACATCTTGGTGATGTTCATATTTGTGAAATATTTGCACTGACTGAAAAGTAGAAACAGTTAAATTTCAGCAAAATATCTTGTTTAGTTGTTGACTTTCAGAAACTAAACTATTCAGACTCAGTGACGATAATCTCCCTTGAAGTACAAACTTCTTGAGCCAAATAACATTCTGTTACTCCTTCACTTTATAGTTTCTCCTATATCTGTTTTTTATATAGCAATTAGAGCAGAAATATATACAACAATCGAAATGGCGTCTTTCCTGAGTCTTTTAAACTATCATTAATATTCCTACTCTTATAAATATTGGTGTTACTGTTGTTAACAAGTGCAAAACCTCTAACAGCAGGATACTGAGATATCAGTCTACTGATGAGTTGTACGCTAATGGGTAGTAATGGAAACTCGTACCCAATATATATATATATATTAAAATTAAGACAAAAATTAGATACCTAACTGCCATTTTAAGTTGTTAAACGTTACATATTTTGTTACACTTTTGGGAAAGATAAGAATAATGAATGTATTTTAATTTTAAATATTATTTTAACACATCAGTTCAAGGCTCCTAAATATGCGAGTCTTCACGGATTAAAAGAAGTAGAACTATATGTTAATACTACATTCTATATCAAAATAGTGATCTGGTGTAGTATCCTACAATCTTAGGTTATCTATGTAGATGATCATTCGCACTACATTCCAAAGATGCACTGATTTTCCTTAAGAGTAATTAGGTATCATTTGCATCATAACTGGAGTTTCGATCATGAAATGTATCACGAAGTAAATCTGAATCATTCTATTTTTGAATGAGTTTAGTGAAGAAATGGACTGGATACAATGTACAACAGAGTAAAGAGGTCTTTATTGAACACCAAACACAATCGTAAGACAAAACGAATGTATTTATGATGCCTTATTGGATGTTTGATGGCTTGCTATGAAGTACAGAGAGTTGATTATATGAAAACGATTTTGAATTTACAAATCTGCTGAAATAAAATTGTAGTGGAATGACATGTATTAAAACTACATTTTAACATTGATGTTTTGTAAGTAACGTGATGCCACAAAAAATGGACCACTTTTTGGAAGAGTATGCAACAACCTTTTCTGACGCAAAATATTCATACATTCATATCATGTAAGTGTTTTCACATTGATGATTTAGAATTTCCAAGATAGGAACATCTCTTGTACTTATTATGTATCAAGTTGGGGCACCAGGGTCATCCAGAAAGAGAACTGCAACAAGTTGTACCCCAGCCATTATAAGCAAAGTGTGGTATCTTGTAACATGTGAGAATCCATGAACACAAAGGTCAGTGACGAAAGCTGTATATTTGTCTCGGGCAACAGTGTGCAACATAATCAAGGAGGATCTATATCTAGAAACAATGTATGGGTTCACAAGATAAGGCTTCCAGTTATACCCCTGTTCAACCATCACATACCTCAAGCAGTTAAAGAATGAAATGAGTATTTATGCTATTTCGTATGAAGACATACTAGTCAAGTCAATAGATACAGCAATTGGACTATTTAAACAAGCATTAAGAAACAATTATTCTTATACACTGATGTATTATAGAAAGCATTTAGGAAGGAATGGTGTGCTTTAGCTATGAAAACTAAAACAGAGCCTTTTGCAATGGAAACTATGCTGAAGAGCTATTATCAAGACGCACAGTCATCAGATAGAAGATGACTGGATGTGGTGGCAGGGATTATAATGGCATGGTGAAGTTCAAGGATCATTTAATTATAATGTGTACAATGTATGGATCTATGAAAATCTGTTTCATACTAAGAAAACATACTATTACATACACAAAACAATAATGCTAATCTTCACATGGAGTAGCCAGGTGAGTAGATGAGCTTTTGTAACCTTAGCTCAAGCCAATAATTCAAGCAAATCCTCTACTAATTATACCCTGACATGGATAAACTATAGTACAATACACTAAAATCAGAATAAAATTCTAATATACTTGAATGAAAATAAGATAAAAATTAACTTTACTGGAAAATAAGCTAAAGACAGTTTAATTAGTTAATCGAAAGAAAACATGTATGATTGGTAGATATCACAAGACATGGGAAAAACAGCAAGTTTTGATTCCCAAGTCAGAAATGAATGTAGCTGAAAACATTAAAACTCTTTTCGCATTTCACATACTCTCTGTAGCTGACAACTGAAAAATTGAATTACTAGCATACAAAAGTATCTCTTCTCCATGTGACAGCTATAGAGCAGCTCCTCTTTACAAGGTAATGTAGGACTCAAAACAATTGTACAACAAATAAACGATACCTTCCACCACTAAATCTTATTACAGAAAGCAGCTCTTAGGGATGGCTTAGCACGCATCCTTGACTGAATTTAGTGTGACCAAAATTAGATCTTTGATTAACTTAGAAATAAGAACAATAATTTCAATAATTGAAGAAATGACAAAATATATTACATAGAATTAAAACTGAATTTATAACTTGACTGAATTGAAGAAAATAGACTGAACGCAATGTAAAAAAAAGTGAAAAATAATATTTAGTTACTCATAGCATAAATTACATCTTACAAGCATATGAGATGCTGGAAAACGCTAGCTACTTTACAACTGTTAAGAGATCTTAAGAGAAGGAATTATGAATAAAACTGAAAGAGTTAACTATTATATATAAATCGCAATAGGGTCACTCCCAGAATACAGTGGTATGTTCATTGATCATTCAATGAGTTAAAAACTGGGAGGATATAACCTCTAGGAAATTTTAAACCTCTACACAGTTCATCTCAGTAGAGTACATACATAATACTAGCATAGTTCTCCAGTGATAATTTCCATAAAAAGTTCAGTAACACCATAGATAAGGCATAACTAGGACGCCATGTAACAAGTTATCTAAATTCCAAGACTAGTCTTTTTTTATCTTAAGTATACATGTGTGCTTGAACACATAACTGTGAAAAATTGTAATAATTTTCAGTGAACATGAAGTATCCGCCTGTCTAAGCTAAAAAATACAAACACCTGATATATATGTTTCACTCCACTAAAAGCTAACTTAGAAGTTATTGTTTGCAGTATTGGATTAACGCATAGGTTACCTAGGCCAGGGTCTAGAGCTACTGCCATACAAGGGCCCCACTGGCCACCCAAATAAAAAAATTATGGTTCGCAAAATTGGCAAAACAGAGGCAAGAATAAGTTATTACTATTATTTCCATGTGGTGTTTGAATATACTGTGCATTTTTATCTTCTTATAATATTATAGTATTCATTTTGAAATTATTATTTGTTCTCTATATGTACAGGTTTCACTCAAAACGTGGATGAGAAAGCTGTTAAATCGATTTGATTTCGTTCTAAGCTACTTTTGTTCCTTTGCTGTTCTCAGAGTGGATAATTTCTGTTACTATCCCAAGAGATTATTGCTAAATACTACACGTTGTGTAAAGATGTCGACAGCAATATCCTTCAACTGGTGTTCAGATGATAGTTAGAGGTTATGACCCAACCTTTGTTGGAATGAAGATAACTTAGATAGAGCAAGTCACCCTTAGTAAATGCGAAGTTTCTTGCGTGATAAGGAATATTACGTTTGATCAGTTTTGTCTGGAACTTCGTCTTCAGTAGTGTTACTGGTCTGGAACATCATTTGGTTAGTTTAAACTGAAATTTGGCCTTCAGTAGTTAGTCCTGTGTCGCGGAATGCGATCGTCCCGTAAAAGTGACAGTGAGTACACACAAAATATTGTTCATTTTGTATTACACTTTGTGTCTAACCTCGTTACTTTATTTTGATTGATTCACTTAGTAAGAAATTTAGTGTCGTTCTGTAATCAATATTTTAAGAGAATCTCTTGTTATCCAGCGGAACTATCCAATATGGCTCTTCAGTTTCATTTGGATATAATCCACTTTACCAAAAGATTTCTGAAAGTAAAAATGGACAATACACGCAAGAGTTATTTTTAACAAAAAAGGAAGAAGAATAAAAGCAGATGATTCCTGAAACAATTAATACTCAAAGGAATAAGTATAAGTATTGAGTATAAGCTTCGTAAATTGAGGTGCCAGCTTAATCTGTGCTTAAAAAATACTTTTCAAAGGATTTTTAATAGCATTTTGTTTAGTAATTTTAGAAATAACTCATTTAAAACTTTTTGAAACGTTGGTGGTAATTCTCAATACTTCTGAAAATAACAACAACTTCAACTTCTCTCGAGCAGAAAGAGAAGCTAAAGTCTTTCAGAAATATATTTTAAGTTTTTCGTTTTTCCCGTTTTCTCTCAACTACACATCATATACACGTCTTAAAATGAATTATATTACAAGTCTTTGAAAATCGGAACTACTTCTTTTATAAAGAACATATAGCGCCTTCTTCTATTAATGTAACTCTTTTGACAGTTTTGTATATTTCCAACAAAATTTTTCAAAATAAATAAATTATTTTAACTCATTAAAGACTAACTGCTGGTATTAAATATAAAAATTATTATATAAATCAATATTGTTATTAGTTGTGTCAGTTTTTGAAATGATTTGCTGGCATTCGTTGTTCTTTTCCGCGTAAGAATACAACGTTTAAATAGTCTGCAGAGGTTTGATATGTTTTTAAAATCCAAACATTGTAACAACAGCGGGCATTTGTTTAATAGAGTAAGGTTGGAAAGTTGAAGAGTAAAGGTAACTGTTTTGAAATGTCTAAACATTGAGTGGAGTAAGTTGTTTCTAATTAAGAGATAGATGTCACAGATGTGTGCTTAATAATGTTGATATAGCCTTTTTTGTGTCATTTGGTAATAAGCTTTTACTAACATTGTTTGAATTTAAGTTTAACCGTGATTTGTGAAGCTGAAAGTTAAACGTAAAATGAATTTGTTAGTAATCATAGTCATACTCTTATTGTACACTACAGTAATATAATTTAGTCTAGTAGTAGTAGTTCAGTCGCTATTGTTTAAAATTAAATTGTACAGTAAAAGCAGAAATATAGGCTACATAAAATTATTTTTCATGTATTATAATCTATATAAATCATTAAATGTTTTACATTTAGTATAACATTAATAAGTGTTAAAACTTTCAAAGCGTGTTTATTTTTTTTAAATATAAAATTTAAAATAAACTCGTCACTTAAGTTTTTCGCTTGTTCCGGAAGTTGAAATTTTAAAAATATTGACGAAGTTGTATTAGCTATTATTAATATTATTTAAGATTACATTCAACTTGGAAGTTGCAAGCCGTTTGACTCGAATGTTAGCTTTGAAAATAACGATCAGCGTTCAGATCAATTAAATTTTGGATTATTTAACGGAACATACAGACAACAAGAGACCACTACTTTTGTGTCCAAAAGAGCTGACCCTAGATACACATCCTTGAGAAGAAGTCAGAACTAAAGACCAGGAAATTATAGATTTCCCCCTTTTAACTGTTTGTAAAGTGCCACTAACTGGTAAGAAAAATGACCCATTAGAAAAATAAATCCCCTAACACTTAATTTGAGGCTAGTCTGTCTCTTCCAAGTATTAAACTGTAGTCCTTTCATCTGGTTGTCTTCAGAATATAGCATAAACAAATTATAGACTATAGACCTTCATCTAAGTAGCCCCCCCCAGATATTATTGTAAACTTAAATATGATATTCTTTTGACCTTCTTTTTCTCAAGGAAAGCAAGTTAATAATATATCTTAACCAATTTCTACAAGAAAACCTTTCAACTTTTAAGTCTAGAATCATGCTAGTAGAAGCTCTCCTTTGAACTTTTTATAAAAAGTCAACATCCTTTCTTAGACTGTGAGGTAGCAGTTGCTATTTTAGTTTTAGCTATGATTTTGTTTATTATTTATTTTTCCCTCTATAATTCAGTTTATTCATATTTTAAGTGCTAGATTGTGTGCATCATACTCCTAGTTTATATTAAATATTAAAAAGCCATTTTTATATTGAGACATCAACACAAGGTTTCCTTAGCAGTGACTTATGGATACTAAGTTCATTATTAATTATGTGATTCAAATGTTAAGTACTTAGTCATGTGGTATGTAATTGCATGGTCTGGTAAGACAAAATAACTTAAGATTTAGAGTTAAACTGAGGATGAGAAAGAGGGAGATGTTATTAGATTGAGATTTGAATATTGCCATGGTTAAGATATTTGTTAGTTATCATTTCAGGTACTTTTTTATTGTGTTTGAAAAGTGTCCAATATTGTTATTGTGGATAATCTTACAATTTAAGTTTTTCATCTTTGGTTGTTTTTCTTGATTTGTTATTATTGATTTAATTCTTTACTGACTTTTCATATTAATGTTTCATTTTTGTATTTGAGTTTGTTTTGGAGATTGAGTTGTTTATTTAGAAAGTCCTAGCCAGGCACTCTTTTTTTATTAGTGTTTAATTTTTTGTACACTTTTATATATTTAATAAATTTCCTAACTTTTCTTACCCTTCTGTTAACTCTTTCACTGCAGCTGGGTCTTTTATTTCCCAGCCCCAGCTGCAGTGAAGTTAATGTTATTTGACATATTACAACATAAAAGAAATGAATCGGCACACAGTATTCCAAGTGAGGCCTAATTAGTGATTTGTACAGAAATAATTGCATCTTTAGACTTGTAATTAGTATGTCTACAAATACACCTTAAAATTCTGGTTGACCTACAAGGTAGTGTTCAGATATATTGAACAAAATTAAAGTATTTATGATATTGATTTACAGAAATTTTTAATTTGAGATTAAGAATATTGTTAACTGGTATAAAGCTGGTTAGGCCTTTTTAGAATGTTTAGTGTTAATCCTTTTATTATAGGAAGGATATTGACCAGCTGGAGTGAGTTTGGAGTAGGGTTTCTAATTCCTGCTTTAAAAGAATATGAGCCAAGACTATTTTTCCCCACTGGAATGTAGAAGAACTAAATATGATTAGATTCAATTTAAACTTGTGGAGGAGGACTTATAAATTGTATTTCATTAGTTAAATGATGGGGGTTATAATTAATTTTGGAAAACAAAATTAATTATCAATCCATATATAAACTATTTTAAAGAAAAAATAACACTTATAAACCTAATCAGTAGTGTATCTCAAGAAAGGGATCTTGTCAGAGATGGTTAAAATTAAATCACTCAAACCATCAAGGCACAGCTTTGTGCTAGAGGAATACCTACTAGAGTTTTAAGGTATGTTTATAGACTTATGGATTACCAAACTTAAGTTGTAATTATATCTTTCTACAAATTATTAGTTAGGCCTCAATGGGAATGCTGTTTACAGTTTTGTTTTCCTTATGTAGGAAAGAATATTGACTTGTTGGAAAGGGTTCAAAGGAGGGCAACTAGGATGATTCCAAGGATAGAAGGATTATCTTATGGGGATAGTTTAAGATATCTTATTTTCTCATGACAAAAGAAGGGTAAAAGGTGATATTATCGAAGCTTACACAATTACTTAGGAATTAATAGGATAAAGGCTCCTGATTTCTTTCTGCTATAATCTGACGACAATAGGACAATGAAGATTGTCTTATGGATTAAGTTGCCATTGGTAGTAGTGGAGATGAAACTTCTACAAGAACCTAAGAAGGGAATCACTGATTTTCTTAAAAGTAAATGGAAGGTTTAAATTTTAATTTTTCTTAATGATGGGTGTAGCAGGATAGCCTTGAAGGACTAAGTGCTCCCTTGTTGTCCATATTTTATATTCAACTCGTTTATTGTCTCACTTGACCATATTGTTTCAACTGTAAAAAAATTATAATAATGAGTGAATTTTCAGATATAAAAGTGGACTTTAACAACATTCATTTGTCTGTAGTTTTTGTAGATAGTTTTCTTTAACCATGCCGTCACGATTAGACCAGATGCAACAGGAGTTTCGTCAGAAGTTGCTGTTGCAGAAGCAAGAGAAGAAAACGGTTGATGCACAAGAGTTTCAATCAAAACTAAGAATTCCTGGTTCAACACAGAGAGGTGGTCAAAGCATCTCCAAGCCAAGTGGGTTCAACCACGTAGCTCCAAGTGACCAAAGTGTTGGGGCAACATCAAGCTCTGCCCGTCTGCCTATAGGGGCAACAAAAACTGCTGTTTATGGAGAGCGATCCCAACATTTTGGTAAAAATATGAAGACAAACACCAATAATGGACATCAGGAAAAGCCTACTATGAATGGGTTAAAAAAATCTACTCATCAAGGTGGGAGTCATGTTGTGGCTCAATCATCAAGTCATACTGTACAAGAAAATGTTCGGAAAAACCATCTTGCATCTACTCCTCAAAAGAGTGTAAAATCTGTTCATGAGAAGTTAACTGAATCAAATAAACCAGTCAAAAAGGTGAGTTTTCTTTTAAAAATATCTTGCTGCTTTTTAGAAAAAAAAAAAAGTTAATGTATAAGAAAATAAACTCTTAATATATAAGGTTGGCACAGCCTAGTGGTTATCATGCTGAGCTGCAAGTTGGAAAGTCCAAAATTCAAGCTATGAATGATATGCCACTGCACTTGCTTTACACTTTTTGTTGTAGAGGATATCATAGCTGATGGTCAATCTTGCTATCTAGTTAAAGAATTATTGTGTAGGAGATGGGAAACAGCCTAAATTAAGGGATTTCTGTGTCTTCCTCAGAGGGCTCCAGTTTGGCCCAAGTGTTGAATAAGGTGCTGTACAGTTTGAAAATACCAAAGGAAATATTTTTCCCATGATTATCAATTCGGTATATATTCACTTTGATATTCTGCAAGAATTTAAATCACTATTAGCTGATTAACAATACAATTAGTGTTGTGATTGATGTTTCTTTTGATTTCTATCTAATTTTTACAAGAATTTGTTCAGTTTCTACACTTTGTGATAGTATACTTGTACTACATTTGGTCTCATGGTAAATCACCATCCTTTACATCAAGAGAATACTTTGAAAGCTTAAAATATGATAAATGTTTCAACTTGAGTAAGCTATAATTGTCTTCAAGCAAGAATACTATATTAACTTAACAGCTTCGCCTCTTAGAAAGATATAATAAGTTTTTAGTATGTAATTGAAATTAACAAGTTTCTGTTATTGCCCTTTTTTCGTAAAGAAATATTTGGTTTTCTTCCTTTCTCAATTGAAGCCTACTTCTGGGGGGGGGGGGGGGGTATTTGGCATTCCAATACCAAAGGTGCAATATCTCTATAAACATAGTCTGCTTGTATTCTCCCAGTTTGTGGTGTTTAAAATGGTACAGTTTTAAGGTTACCTACCTTTTCCTAGCCAAAAATAATAACTTGGGGGGGGGGGGAATACTTATTTGACATTTTTATTAATTAATATGTAAAATTTCATCATATTGACCTCAACACTTTGAAACGTTTTAAAACTTAAAAATGCCCTACTAGTCAAGATATTTTTATTTATATTTAATCCCGCGTTTGATATATATATATATATATATATATAAATTTATAACATTGTATTGTAACCAGTGCGTTGGATGTTATAAAGTACAGGTTTTTATTCTGAACTTTAGTTATATACTTGTTATTGCTACTGCATGATGCATCAGGAGTCCACCATTTTATATAAGTATATGTTAAACTACGTTTCATTATCAGAATTGTTCGTTTGAAGTTGTCATAACAAAGTTCAAGTCGAACTTGTTTGACCTATTTTAACAGTTGTTTACAAGTACCCTTAGTTATAGTTTACGGTTAAATCACTCGCGTGTGCACATGCGTGTTTTTTATTCAGTAAGAGGTACCGATGGGATATTCGCATAAGACACTCCAACCACATATGTGAAATAAAGTACAAAAATTATTAAATGAAAAGGAATGCCGTATAAATATTAATAGTGCGCTGTTATTAATCGTAAATTATCGAATAGAAACTACTTCAGTAACATGGTATTTGATGCGCGCATCTTCAGACTTTGTTACTGTATATTGACTTTTCAGTTATTTAAAGGTTGATTGAGTAGTTATTACACTGTACGAGCTTGTAACTTGTATACTTACTGTGTAATTTTCATTGTGATGTATATGCAATCAGATTCAGTGAAAAGTAATTTGACCAGCGGCGTTTATTCGTTGACATACTCTATTCTGTGTCATAATTCGTTATGAAGTGTCACTTGGCTTCAGTATTTATACATCAAGAGACACGACTCATACTTTTATGGAGAGTCTTTACCTAGTTAGTAAAGGTTAAATTGTTCAATTAATGTAATTTAGCTCTAGAATTCACATTCTAAAGTGTGTTTTTATCACCTTTTAACAGGGCGTATTGACAGTGAAATGGGGGAATGTTGAAGTACTTATATTTTGCGATTTCTAGTTTAGATTTTCATTATTTTGCATATTTTAATGTGTTTGATTTTTAGGTGTTGCTAGTTCATTTATGTTAGATTATTACGGTATATATCACTGTTATAGTAATTAAAAACACTACGGGCGGAAATTTTAGGCCTAAAACACGTTGAACCTGGTTTTTTAACCTAACCTAGCATCTTTTTTGGAAATTTTACTTTTGATGACGAATATAGCAACAAAATTCTTTGAAATGATACATAGTGCTTTATGTATTACAATTACCCAGTCATTGTGTTCTGATAGCTGAAAGGCCCCCGTGGCAGAAAAGATGATACTCAGGCTCAATTGCTTTCTCCAGAAGTCAAAAGTCAAGATAGCCAGTTCTCGAGAATCACAGTGTTTTTGTAGTGAAAGTCATTAATGTATATTTTCTGAGTAAACCTAATAGGTCAGCAGTTCATCTTGCATTGTAAGGTAACACGTTACATCAATAATGCCATAACTCAGCCTTTTATATGAAAAGTATTAAACTAAATGCGTTGTATGTGCCATGTCTCACAGTAGGAATGGAATGACAAATACAACTACCTCTCTACTGCAGAATGTAATATCCACATAAATTACGTGAGACGGTGCGCATTCAGTTATGTTGTTAAGCCTAATATCAGCCTTACTGGTCGGCGCTTACAGCCATCTCGCCCAAATAAGTTCTTAAGACAGTTCTGCTTCCAATAGAAAAGGACACAAGAGTTTGCATACTGGTAACTTGCATTATTTTTCTCCTACTGCTCCTTGTACACCAGTGGTTGTTGAAGGAGTAAAATTCTTCTTTGGCCATTTGGTTATAAAATATTTGTAGTGGTAGTGCTTGTGGCTTGATATAGTGGTCATGCTAATTTGTTTTCCATATTTTCCAAAACGTACGTGCCAAACAGTTTGCGTCCTGTTTTTCGTGAATTGTTTTCAAATGATTAAATACCGTTTGTTTGCACAAAATGAACGGAATCTTGCCATTTTGCCTAGAAACTATTTTCATGATGTAAACGTGATTATAAGCAACTCCGTGACCTTTCGGCTTGAAGCTGACATCTGAAAAATGAGGTCGCCCTGAACCATATGTCTAGTAGGATTTATGCTTTGCTATGTGCTCCAAAATAAATTGCGCTACTGATTAATTTATTTTCACGTTTTTTTTCACAATGACAAGTTGATACATAATGTGTTAGTTGCGCTAATTTAATTACAATTTATCCCAAAAGGCATCGAATATATGGGTCACTGGTTTTAATAAATACTGACCTTGTGTTTCCAGGTATTTGAACTTGGATGTGGTAGAAAACTGGGATCGCTTCCAGTTATTGTTTGACACGTATTTTGTGATAATCCCCGTTACTATTTGTAGATATTGTGATAGTGAGAACAGACACCAACTAATAAAATGTTGTTATAAGCTGCATGTATAAATTCAATTTTTTATCATTTGTTATCAAATAATTTCGGAGTTGATCGACTTAATGGCTCAAACGCACTTGTGCTGCTTAACTTGAGGCTTTCATTAAATGTCGATGAACTAATAGAAGTTGTTTTATGACATCTTTTGCCATTATATAATTTGTTTTGAAACTTAAGTTTTAATGTTACCGAAACTCTCAATGTTAACGTTCGTATTAACTCTTTATACGTTTTTCACTTTTCTGCAATGTGTCCATTGTGTTGTACACCAAAGCTGCAGATTGTTAGTTGTTTTTACCCCTTTTCTTGTAGGTAAATGGTTTTATATTTGAAATTAGTCTACTGGATCAATTTGACTTGTACGTCATAGTCCTTTTAACAGTTTTATATAGTGTTTTCCTATAAAACACAAGTGTTCATGAAAGAGATGATCAATTTGACTTGTACGTCATAGCTTTTTTACAGTTTTATATAGTCTTTCCCTATAAAACACTAGTGTTCATGAAAGAGATGATCAATTTGACTTGTACGTCATAGCTTTTTTACAGTTTTATATAGTCTTTCCCTATAAAACACAAGTGTTCATGAAAGAGCTATCAGAGTTAATAAGGGAAAGAATAATGTAGAACGTAAACATTACTACAAGAGTTGTTTTTTAAATATACCCACACGTCATACTTTTATATCTATACTTGTGACGTCTACCTTCTCAGTACTGAGAAAGTAGACTAAAGAAATATTCTAATTCTACAGAGGTGAGCTTCAGCCGACCAGCTGTTCAGAATGGTGATTCATTCTCTGTTACTCAGTGGACGCCCTATTTGTCCTCGAATAGAGTACTTGCATACTTATAGTCACTCCTGCGTATATATATTATGTGCCCAATTATGGTAGTATACTGTATCCGAGTTCTTTTACCTTCTTGATACGTAGGAATTGAAAGACCTAATTGAATTGTGCTGTCTTTATTCGGATCTGATTTCAGCTTGTTTTTAATAGCATAAACTATAAAAGTGATAATCAAATCCATAATATGAATAAGAGGATTGAAGGTGCGGTGTTTTTATAAGTAGCTCCATATTTTTCAAACCGTATTTTAACAAATATACTGTTTACCGATTTTGACTGTGTATCGAATCATTAGAGGTTTTTCTGGTGACGTCATAGTTAACCTTGGTGGATAAAAAAATCTTACTTCATACATGGCCGAAAGAATGTGTAGATAAATATTAAAACACACATACACATAAACCCTTGATTCATGAAGTACGTCATTCACTTGTTTGATACTACGCAGAAGATCATGGATAGTGATTTTTAAAAATAAAGTTAAGTTGAAAAATCTCTTATCATATCAAGGGTAGTGAAGTGAAATGACAGCTGTCAGGAAGTTGGTCAGGTTATCAGGCGTCACTAACTGCCACTTCTGCAACTGGCAAAGGTGGATAGATGAGATTGGGTTAATACTTTTTTTTACAGTGGTTTAAACCTTTAAATCGGATCAAAATAATCAAGCTTCGGTTCCTTTCGCCGTGGTGTATTCCAAGGGTAGAATGAATTAATAGAACGATATTATGTTGGTGTAATGACAG